GTGTGTGTGTGTGTGTGTGTGTGTGTGTGTGTGTGTGTGTGTGTGTTTGGCAGGTGTTTGATGGTTTGCAACAGTAAACAGGTTCATTGTGAGAACAGCAAAGGTTCCACATCAGGAGACTTCCCTGATAATTATACAGGAGCACTCAKCCCCTCCTCTCCTCTCTACATGCTCACATCTGTGTCGTTGTGTTTCTCGTGTGTTGTGGTGTGCAGGTGTGTGTAATGTGAGTGTTTGTCAAACCTGTGATCTCAGGTGTCTGCATGTAAGCTGCGGTTGACACGGCTGCTGTAAACAGGTTGTGTGTGGTGGAGCTGCTGGCCGACTGCGGCTCAAAGCTGGAGGAGTCGCTTCTAATTGACCAAGTCTACAAGTTGTGCTGCGTCTCCCAGAGCTCTGTGTTCTGTTCCCTACACCTTCTTCTGCTTCACCTCTTCCATGTTTTCTGTTTGAGTTTAAACAAAACATACTCACACACACAAAGAACTGTGTGAGGCGGCTGCATTTGAAAGTGAGTGGAATCAATAAGGCTAATGGTAGCAGGTAAGAAAGGAAGACAAACTGTTGATCTTTGTTTATTCTACAAGAATAAAAAGGTTTTTTCTCCTCTCAGTTATATAAAAGCACCCATTTAGCTGAAGCAGATATTCTGCTGTCAATCTGTCTAATTGCAGGTGAAGTGAGTCAGTCAGTGACTGAACCCTGACAGAGACTTTGACRGTTTTGGACCCAGCTCTTCCTCCTCATGTTAATAAAGTTGGTTCAAAGAACTTGACTAATTAAAGGCTTAATATCTGATTCATGCCAGTGTTTTCATCTAAAATCATCTGATGATGTGAAACAAATGAGTTGTAGCCATTTTTGTTAAACTTTGTAAATGATGTTACGCCCCATCAGGGCCAACGAGTGGCATAGGCAGAGTAGGCAAACTGTAAGGGCGCCATCAATCTAGGGGGGCACCAGCCACGCCACAAATGGGAGATGAAMGAATATTTTTTATAACTTTTATCAGATTATGTTTGATTTAGAGTGTATTCACACCTGTGTATTCACACATTTTTGATCCACTTTAAATGGACCAGAGTTTGTTTRCTCCGTTGGTCCAAACCTTTTTACACAGTGTGAATACACTCATGATGCTCCAAACAACCYGACCGAGACCTGTTTTAGAGGTGGTCTCAGTCCACTTCCAAACCAGCTCTGGTGTGGTTTGCTTCTGAAGTGAAGACAGACCGGCCTCAAACTTCAACTACAGGAAACGTGCCTTTGMACTTCACAAGACATCATCACTAACATTAGCCCTTCAGTGTTGCTAATGCTAACACTAAAAACAAAGAGCCGTTGTGGATCAGGGAACATGGAGCATCTCATCTCTTTTGGATCAATGACCAGTTYGAAGAATATCATCATGAAAGTGTTTTTAAATGAGCTGCTCTTGGGATTATAAATGTATTGGATGTATTAACACCATCTGTATTTCCTGCTCTGTGCTCTGTCCRGCCCCAATCATTTCTGTCCAATGGGAGCAAAGACCATCACCTGTGTTGATTTGTTAAATTAGAGTCCACTTACAAAAAAAAACACACAATGTGAATGCAAACTGCACTACAGGAAAAAAATAAAGTCCTTTGGTCCAGACCAAGGAAGCGGACCAGAGAACTTCCTGTTTAAATACACCTTTAATCTGTAGAATCACTGGTTCCTCAGGTTCATGAAGGAAACCTGATCTGTGGGTTTATCAGCTGCTTCTTACTACATGAGGTGTATTGAGGTGTTATTTTAATTGGATAATCTGGTTTTAAGACAATAAAATTACAGACAACTATTTAATTGTGTGTGTGAATGTGTGTTAATTGGCAGTGAGATTAAATTGCAGAAGGCGGGGGGGGGGGACCTGAAATCTTGCCTGGGGCAATAAATCGGTTAGGACCAGCCCTGCGCTCCCTCACATGCAACATTGTGAAATCTTACAAAGCTTGGTTGTGCTCAGAGTACGACCACATCTGATTCACTGAGCTACAGCCATTTCTGTATCTGCTAGCTGGGGCGGCCATCTTGAACAGGCTTGAGTTAGAAACATCAGCTGCAGATGTAGCAGTGACTTTCTTGGTGTTTCATTACAATCTGTCAGATGGTTCATATGATACTTTGCTAACAGACACAGCTGACTCCAACAGTTTGAAAGCAGATTTAATGTGACAGCTAGCACAAATTAGTCCACTTGTGGTGGAAGGACCATGATCCAAAGAATGAGATAGTTACTTACCGGATGACGTCCCACCTCTTTGGTGGAGTGTGGTCACCAWGTGCAGCAAGTTTTGCATTAAGAAAGTGTGCATCAGACCATGCACATCTGTACAACACAGACACTGTCTCCACTGTTGAAAGAAATTTCTATGTGGACGATTGCTTGAAATCCTCCAACTCACCCCAACAAGCCATCCACCTATTTGAGCAGCTGACTGACCTTCTRAAGCAGGGAGGATTTCATTTGACAAAATGGACCAGCAATTCTCCCAAGGTTCTGAAGTCCATCCAGGAGGAGGAACATGCTAATCGAGCACCATCACTGGACCTGGATCYAGATCCGTCAATGGAGAGAGCTCTTGGGGTGTTATGGGACATAACAAGTGACTGTCTTACCTTCAGCGTCAATGTCAAGGACCAACCTAACACCAAAAGAGGTATGTTAAGCACAATAAGCTCAGTTTATGACCCCCTGGGTTTGGTTGGCCCATTCATTCTATGGGGAAAAGCACTGTTCCAGGCTCTATGTCGCATGAAACTASGCTGGGATGAAACTATCCCAAGTGAGATAGATGAGCAATGGGGCCGGTGGCTAAATGACCTGCTAAAACTCTGCCAGCTACGAGTGCCCAGATGTRTCAGGCCYAAAGCATACACTTCATCTTCAGTCACCATGCAACTTCATCACTTCAGTGATGCTTCTGAGTTGGGATATGGTGCTGTATGCRATCTGAGAGTGGTTAGCCATAACAACATCTACTGTAATATCATCCTCTCAAGGAACCGGCTGGCTCCTGTCAAACCAAWKACCATACCAAGGCTAGAACTGGCAGCCGCAGTGGTTGCAGTACAGATCGATCAGAAAAGCCACCAAAGCTTTGAGCTACCCCTGCTGGACTCTGTCTTCTGGACTGATAGCACCATTGTGCTACATTACATCAGAAACGAGGATAAAAGGTGTCAAACATTTGTTGCAAACAGAATSTCACAGATACGTGAAGTCTCTGTACCCTTGCAATYGCAGCACGTCTGCACAGAACTGAACCCCGCAGATGATGWTTCTAGGGGACTATCAGCTGAAGAGCTCACAAGCAATGAATGCTGGCTCAAAGGCCCTGCTTTCCTTTGGCAGGAAGAAGAGTTTTGGCCTCGTCAGCCTGAACTAGGAAGCTTACCTCCAGAAGCGGAGGTAAAGAAATCGAGTCAGACATACTCAACCTCATCAAAAGTCACCGTTCAATCAACAATTGATTGTTTCATCCAGGGATATTCTTCCTGGTTCAAACTTAAACGAGTCATTGTATTGATCTTATGAGCAAAGAAGACACTTTTGAAGAAAACAGAAACCAAACTATGTGCACCTATAACATTGAATGACATGAAACAAGCAGAGATTGCACTCACAGACTACGTACAGCGCTCACAGTTCACCAGTCCACAGAAAGATGAAAACTTCAGAAAGTTAGCACCAGTACGCTTCAGCAATGGATTACTTCATGGATGAGTAGACTCTCGGACCTTCGGCATGTGTTTTCCACATAATTTTATGTTCAATATTATTGTAAACTCTCTGACTAATCAAAGTTCATTCACTTTTCTGATTCTYATAGTATTTGATTCATATGTGATGTAARATGTTTGTGTAGTATGTCAAAGTTAAAGCCAGCTAGTTGTTAAAGWTGTCACTTAAGTATAGTKGTTCACCATTTTCATTTGGATGACCATCTCCAGTGGTCATCGGGGCCAGGATGTTGGATTCACTCCTTCCACGCCACTAGGTGGCTCTATAAATCATTTTTCTTTTATTTTGAAGGGCTATTTTAGAAACAGGAAATGACGTCAGAAAGACAGGAAGTGTTCTTTGCCGCCTGAAAATTATCAACTTGCCTTAAAAATATGAAGAAGTACACCTTTATTTAAAGTTTAACCATTGCCCTACATGGTAAGAGTGTTTGTTGTTATTGATTATCAGCCTTCTGGGTTATTGTTTAGTTTCATTTGTGTTGTTAATGATAT